TCTGTTTTAATATGAACAACTTCAACATTAATTGTATGATATTCAGCTGTTTCATCATTCACTGGTCGACGATAATCAGCACGAAATTGAACTTTTTTTATACCTTCATTTTTCCAAGATAAACTTAACTTAAAGAAAATATTGATTAGATTAAATTAGATTTAAACAAAAAAAAAGGGAGAAAAAGAGAAAACGATATTTACAACACCAGGTATAATATGTATTTCATTTGAATGTGATTCCATATTAGTAGATTCTTGATCTTCAATATCACCATAAACAGTTAATGAAGCAAGATTTCGTTCATTTTTAACTGAAACAATCATTTCAACACCTTCATTTGGTTGAACTTGTGTTCGACCATAAATTAAAAAACTTGAATCAGTGATACGAACATCAAGACCTGAAAGGATGGATGTTTATTTGTGTGTGTGAGTGTGTTTTTTTTCATAGTCTCAATGAATAACATACCAACTTCAGTATGAATTAAATCGATTGTACTTGATACTGCAATTACATGCCATTCTTCATTATTTGAACATAATTCATTTAATGAACAGCTACATTGTTTATCATAACTAAATGACATATTGAATTCAATCGAACTTTGCATACATCCACATTGATTATTGGTTGAAGAATAAAATGCAATCTATTAAAAATAATTAAATAAAATGACTATTCTTTCAATATCTTAAAGATTCTTAATACATTCATTTTTCGATTATAACATTCATCACGACATAATTTCCAATTATCCAATACTTCAGCAATTATATATTGATGAATACGATCATTATTTTTCACACATCCCAATGAAATTATATCCAAGGAAACTAAAATAATAATTTATCAAAAAAAAAAAATTCTTGTTTTTTTTCTTAAAATAAACAAAATTCAAACCATTAGCAATTTCTTCATCTGTTAAAATTCTTTCATAATATAACATATCATCAATCATTGCAACTCCTGAATAATTTCCATAAATAATAGTTGATTTCGAATGTATTTGATCATATTTAAATATAAATATTTCTTTATAATTTTCTATTTCTGTTTCTTTATATAAATATCCATCAAAAAAAACTTTCATTTGATAATGTTTATTAAATGATGTCATATGTTGTTTAATAATTGTTACAACATCAATCCATTTATCTATTTCTAAATCAACTTCAATTTGCCAATAATATGCAAATTGATCATCACGAAATTGTTTTAAACCAAATTCAAGATATGCAATATTGTTTAATTGATATAAATAAATTAATATTCCATCACCATGTGTTTCATGTGCACCTGTACTAAATAATAAATATTTATGTTCACGATCACGTGTATGAAATGGATTAAGACGTAATTTAAATCTTAATGACCATCCATGTGTTGAACATATTGATAATTGTCGAAAACATTTATATTCATCATTCGATATACGATAATAATCATCCGAATCAAGTAATGATATTGAACCATTTAAAAGAGTTTTTCCATCTAGTTGAAGTTAATTAGAAGTTAGAAGAGTTCAAAAGTAGTGATAGAAACACTTTAATATCGTATAGAAAGTTTTAGGAAACTTTCTTTTTATTTTTACAAATAGTACAATTAATGCTCTATTTTTCTATCGTATTTAATCATTCTTCAACTACTAAATATGATAGTAATCAAATTTTGATAAGAGCTCTTTTTTCTATGATATATGACGGTTATACTAATCCCTGTTAAAAAAAGGATTTGTGAATAGTTTTTCAATAGAAACACAGTACATAACTGCAGTATTCATCATTTGAAAGACGAAATGAAGATGCATCGAATCGTATATTATAGATATTTCTGAATTGACTTATTTTAAAAACTTTTCCATCAAATCCTTTGAAAACAAACCTAATCCATAAGGTTTTTACAGCGATTTTTCCATTGTTAGGTGTGTATGGAAATCGGTGATGAATGATCTACAAACCTGCACAAGGCTCACATGTTTAGAATCAACTATTCAAGAGTTATAGGTATTCTAGTAAAAAAAATCTAAGTGATTTTTCTAGCGATTTTTGTAAAAAAATTGTTTTATTCTACTGTTTTCGACACTTAAAAAGTTGATTGAACAAACTTCAAACATACAACGAAGACCTGTAATATACGATTTGTTATATCTTCATTTTCTCCTGCGAATGATGAAAACCGGAACTGTCTATTTTATTTCAATCGAAAGTTATCCAAAAAATCAATATCCAGTTACCATTTTTTTAAGTAGGCATTAGTATAACCATGATATATTTTAGAAGAAAAGCTCTTATCGAAATTTTATGATTTTGATATTAGTTAAAAAATGATTAAAATACTGTCACTACTTTTGAACTGTCCTAAGTATATTTGTTTCATACATATTAACTTACCTTGATTTTGAGCAATAACAATATTATCGATAATAAATATGAATAAAATTAGAAGAATTAAAATCTTCATGATAGTAAAAGTATAAGTTTTTACTGTTAGTCTCGATCAATTCTTGTTTATCCTGGATTCACCTTGAACAACTACTGAATATATATTAGAAAAGGTGTTTGATAGTATTTCTTTTTTTTTCTTTTATTTAAAACTCTTGAGAATCATTTCAAGACACTTTAATCATATTATGATGAATTATGTAATAGGAAAGTCTATAGAGAAATATCATTTTTCAATCAAATAGTGTCCTTGTCATCGATATTTTATTTAAAGAAGAAAAAAAAAAAGAATATTTTTCATTTTTGTGTACCATTGAAAAAAATGATATTCATGTATTGGGAAATATTTTTCAAAAACAAAAAATAATTAATTAACTTTTTAATTTATAACAAACAATACAGCAGTGAATGAAATATGATCATAAGATTAATAATATTTTGTATCATAACAATAAAATTGACATATTGAGATGAAATTCGCATTTGCGCAGTGGAAAAAATATGTCACTATTTTGTAGATATCGATCTAAGTATTTGTCTATGGTAGAAAAATTATTTGAAATTATCTCTATGATATTTAAGTTTGAATATTTGTACAGTAGTTATTAATCGGAATTCAATATTTTGATAAATATAATGAATAAAAATAAGATTATAAAAGAAAACCGAATTTCATATGTTCGAATATGCATAAATAGGTTTTTTCTTGCATTTGATATGAGATGAACTAGTTAAATAAGGAAACTAATTGTTAAAAAAAAAGCCCTTTTTTAATGTGAAAAGAAAATTACAGTGAATACCTCAAGTATAATCGTGCGCCATCTGTTTTTTTTTGTTTTGGTTAAAAAATGTTTCTTAGGAAACAAACATCCTTATGACTAAAATCTTCATTGACGAGCCACTTTCAGCCACAAGGAGAAAAACATCAATCAAAATAAATATTTTTTTAAAGATTTAGTTTCATTTTTCATTCAGAAAAGGTAAATTATCAAAAATATTTCAACAATTTGTTTGATCTTTAGTTATTACTGTTACTATTTTTAATACCAATATCTTTTTTTTTCACAATGTAGTTTTTCGTTGAAAAATATTTATTTGAGTTTTTAGAATCGATAATAGACTAAAGCATATTGAGTAAAATCTCTCACAATGAACACTTTTTTCACGGTCTCTAAAAGTAGCTTTTGCTTGAATTGAGTCTCTCGATATTGGAAATTACTTATGAGTTTGAACAGAATGGTTTGATTTGATGGTTAGCTATTAGTAACCAATAATATCGTCAACAGCGATTTTTCTATTCTTATGATCAACAAGTGTGATACGAATGAATATCTGAAGGAACTAGTAGTTGAGATGAATAGATGAGAAGCAGAAAGATATGTCTCTGATGAAAAATATTTAAATTCTATTCGGAGTATTTGACATAGTGAGAAAGCTTTATGTTTTCACGTTCATTCTATATTCTCAATAGTACGTTTGTCATCTGACATCTCAAACTTCAAATAATTAACATTTATTTAAATTCGATAGTAATAAAACAAAGTTCTGTCAAAGATTAGCTTTAGCCATGGTTAGTTTTTTCTCCTATTTTCAAACATCTAGAAAATGTGTATGCTTTTTCGAAAAGCTGTACTTTTGGAAAAGACTTAACGTTCTTTATCGTGAGCACCTCCTTATAAGGAATACCTTTGAAAAGTCCACATAATTTCACATATAAAGAGATTCTAGTGTATTGATGTTAATTTATTTTGACCATCATATTGAATTGGTATGGTCTTTATAAAAAAAAAATACTCTCGATATAGTTGGTCTTTCTTAGTGTCTTCCACATTGAGGATAAGTGAAAATGAATCAAAATTACAAGAGCTGAAATTTACGTTTGAAATCTTCACATATTAGGTTAAAGTTTCAGTTTCATTTCAAAATGTGATAAGATGCTACTGATCTATCATTTCGTTATTTTTTGCAAATCAAAATTCTTCTATCGTAAGAATTTGAATACATTATTGACATTTTAGACGTTAGTTTGAAACGAAATGCTTCTAAGAGAATGAGAATAAATGGTAATGGATTTGTTTACTTTTACTTTTGCATAGTAATGCACTTATCATACTTCTTCTACGCAAGATATTGTTACAAACAATGAAGATGATTACCATAGTAATGCTTTGTGAAGTATAATTTCTTCAAACTACTATTCATAATCTATCTAGTGGCGAATTCAGATGCGAGAAGATGTGTAAGGTGAAAGAAGAGTAGTTTTCGGCGAAAACTTTTCTCGATTGTTTACAGCAAACTCGAGCAAAATTTTGATTCATACTAGCACAAATAAGCTTCGAAAACTTCACCTTTTTTGTATTTAGTCATCTCTCTCCCTATCAGAATCCTAGATTTACTACGTAATCGATTTAGTAGTAAATCCGACTTATTTTTACATAGTATTGCATATTATAATTTGAACAATGATATTGTAACACATGAACTATTTTTCTTCTTGTTAAACTCGAATATAAATAATCAATGAAAAGAGAACTTCGCTGAAAATTATAGATCACAATGAATGAAAGCACAGTAGCATGGGAAGATCTTATCCTTCATCGAAAAGACATGACTGCATTCAAATCACGGACTTGCAAGATCTACAATAATAAAGCACGGTGTTCTACCGATTTAAATAAGTCATGTCCTTGTGGTCGTATGGTTCGTCGCCACAGTTTCACTGATGAATCTGTAGAATTCAAAGAAACAAAGCCAGAAAATACTGCATGGAAGCCTCCGAAAGAATTTCGCGAAATGATTCATTCTGCTAAAGTGCCTATCAATATATATGGAACATTGCAATCTACCGGTTGTAAATTTCTTCGAATTGATCTTCGATTACCAATTAAAGATTTATTCCAATTAATTCTTGAAGATTGTCAAAAACAAAAACCAGCTCTTATTTTAAGTATTTATGGTGGAGCCAAATATTTTACTATGACAGAACGTCTTGAAAAAGAATTTATCAGAGGTGTTATTGATGCTGCTACTATGGCCAGTAAATAATTATGTTTTGAATATTATTTTTGTTAACTAGATCTATTTAGATGCATGGATTCTTACTGCCGGTATCAATAATGGTATATCAAAATTAGTCGGTGAAGGTATTTCACATTATCGTGTCTTACGTGAATATTCGATTAAAGTGAAATGTATTGGAATGACAATGTGGAGTACAATAAATGATAATGCACGTCTTGAACTTAAAAATGCATCAAAAGTAAAATAATGAGAATATTTGAAAGAAATGTAAAAGAAATAAAAGATGTGCTTATTTTATAGGGAAATCCACGACCATTATGTGAACGACAAATTCCAGAAAATACTCAAGAAGATAAAGAAACAATCGAACCAAATCATACACATTGTATTTTATTTGATAGCGGTAAATTGAATGAATATCTCAGTGATATACAGCGTGATCAATTTGTTACTGAAGCATGTAATTATAAGGATCAAGGTAAAGAGAATGATTATACATGTATGTATTTATTTAAAAATTATCATCGAAATCAGTTGAATACATATATATGTATAAAGGTTATGCTGTAACAATTATCGTCGAAGGAGGAACTGGTAGTCTTGAAGTTCTTGAAAATGATATTAAAGGAAGACGACCAATTGTTCTGATTCAAGTTCGTATCACAAAACTTTTATTCATATTAATTTTATTGCAAATAGGCCGATGATGCCGTGCTCCAAAAATAATAGGATTTCACTGTAACAGACTGGATAGATTCGAGAAAAATCATCATATTCAGCAGGAAAACACTAAAGATCAATGGAACATAGAAGCGATACTTCTCTTTAGAAAGTGTTCGTTTTTTTTCCAATGACTTATGTTTGTTTTTCTGCTGAAAAAAAAATAGAAAGTTGACCTAAAGCCATCGGAAAAATTCAGAGAGTTTCCTGTCTGAAAAATTATTTCCAATGATTTCCGGTGTTTTATTGCCGTAACTAGTCTGTATTTCTTGATCTAATTAGTTATTCAAATTTAGGGTAGTGGTCGTTTAGCTGATGTACTTGCTATGCTTGTCGAACAGACATCAAATCCTGATCGTAATCAACATTGGTAATAAAAGATAATGTTGAATTTATTTTATATTAGATCTTTATTCAACAGGGATCCATCAGATCAAGAAATTGAACAAGCTCTTGATCGGTTTTATCCTACTATATCTATTTCAGAAGTTTCTTTAACAAAAAAACGAATTCAAAATATTTTAAAACAAGAAAATCGTTATCTATTACATGTTTTCTCTATGGATCGTGATAAAAATGTAGCTGAAATAATTTTCAAGGCTATATTTACTGGTATTCATGTTAACAAATAAATTTTTTCATTAATAAATGTTAATATTGTAGCTACAAAAAAGAAAACTAAAATAGAAGATAATCAGAAACATGAAGATGAACCATCAGATCAAGAAAAACAACGTCGAAAAGATGAAGATAAACTAGTAGATTTGGCACTTGAATGGAGTTATTTTGATGGTGTTTTACCAATATTACAAGCGCGACAAGGTGATATGGTGAAGAAAAATAAATATTTTATAGAGGTAAAATAGTGAAAGAATGAATGTTTACTTGCTAAAACTATGCATACGACAAAAAACAACCGATGAAGTTATTGAGCATGTCATACATGTTCGATAAAGATTAATTTTCTATAACACAATCCAATATTATCATAAACGTATTTCGCGTAGAATAAAACTTTCCTCATTTTTCTACTGTGACTAATCATCCTTAAAATGATATTCCTAGTATTTTATTTTTTTAAAGATTATCGAAAGTGTTTACACGTCATAATTCGAAATCAAAGTATGAATCACCGGTAGTCAATGAAAACCGTAAACTTTCTTGCAAATTGTATACTAAACATGGATAAGTCAATAATTTTAAGATAATTGAGACAATTTTGAAACTAATATTATACAATTCTTTATTTTTATCTATACAAATAGTGTCGAATCATGAGAGCAAACATAGGATGTTATAAATCTGTGATCATCCACTTTTCATTTTCAATTGAATACAATGATCTTATTTGCGGTATCATGACTCAACAGTTTTCAAAAAGTTTTCTAATGCAAACCGTCACAAATAAAATGATTGTTTAGAAATAATAATATAAAACTTTAATAATTCAATTTTTTTTAAATTTTCTGTAGGTTTTTCTCACCTCCTTGCAAATAATAACTTTTATACAAAAAAAAGTCTGCTATTCAGTTCAATCTTTACTCAATGTATTATTGTGAATTATGCCATCGAAATATATAATTCTTGCTCATTTACTTTAACCGAAAAAATTCTAATTAACATGTTAAGTTTGATACGGTATAGATAGATATACATGTTTCTGACTAAAACAAAAAAATTTGATTCTCATGCATACTTTTTCATAAATTCTCTCAATATATAGCAGTATAGTAAATTATTATTGTCAACAACTATTCTAGTTTTAAAGTGATATATATATATGAAACATAGTAATTAATAGTAATTCTTGATTTATTTTAGGAAGATATAAAACGGCAAAAGTATCTGTTTATAAAATCTCTTCAAAAAAATCGTTCAAAATTCATTGAATATTTCTTAATAGCTGGTTTTGATCCATTAACTTTAGTCGATAATAATAATAGTTCTAGCTACCAAAAATTTATTGAAAAATTATATGTGGAGAGTTATACAGTTATGAATATGGTTCGTTTTCTTTTTTCATAGATTTTGTTTTCTCTATTTAAATTTTTCTTTTCTTACTATAGAGTCACAAAAATCGTTTACTAAATATACTTGGTATATTACCACTTCGACGAATAAAAGATATTGATTATAAATTAAATCAATTTATTGGTTCTTTTTTCGAATCGATTTATTCTTTTAAAGATACTAGTTTTGGTAAACGTATTAAAATTGATTTGAGTAATCATGTATGTAATTGTTGTGGATTTCATAAGCATGTTGACGATAAAAATGAATTAAATGCTATGAATAATCATATAATAAATGATCAAACAATAGACACATATACAAAACATCATATGTTACGTGATCTTTTTTTATGGTCTATTCTTATGGATATGCCTGAAATGGCTAAAGTTTTACTTCTTCATGTTCGATCTCGTATTTGTGCTGCTCTTATAGCTTCAGCTGTATTTAAAAGATATTCAAAAGCATCTCAAACTGTTGATGTGAAAGATAAATTTCGAATGCAATCATTAGAATTTGAAACATATGCTGCAATGTGTGTTAATAAATGTTATGAATATAATGAGAAACGTGCTTGTGAATTACTTGTACGACAAATACCACTTTTTGGTAATATTACATGCATGCAGGTTAATAATATTTAATATTAAATTAAAAGACAAATAAAAGAGAATTATCTTTTTCTTAGGCTGGAATTTCAAGTGAAAGTGTAAAATTACTTGAAACAGCTTGTTTCGATCAAACATTAAATCAAGTATGGTTTGATAAATTAGCATTGAGTAATCAACAAACATCAGCTAAATTATTACAAATTCCTTCAATTATTACTTTTGGTTTAATAGCACCTTGGATTATTACATATCGAAAAGAAAATGAAGAATCATTGAATGTATGTAAAAAATATTGATTGTTTTTTTTTGTAAAATTGAAATCTTGTTTTTCTTTAAATCTTTTATTTTAGAGTACAAAGAATGATGCGTAAGTAGAAATTATGGTAATAATGTAAATATTTATTAAATGAATTATTTTAATTATAGTCTATCTGAAGAAGGTATAAACTATTATGTTGATGAAAAAAATTCCAAAGAAGGAACATGTTCAAATTATTGGAAGTGTGTTCAATATTTTCATGAAAGTTCAATGATAAAAATGTCATATCATTTTGTAAGTTATTATTTTAATTTTTTATATAATAAATAAAAATATTTTTCTATAATTTAGATTAGTTATATTTGGTTTTTACTTGTATTCAGCTATATGATGCTTTATCATTTAGATAGTCGCGATACATTTATAATTCCTCATTGGACTGAAATTTATGTCATTATTACTGTTTCAACTATGTTTTGTGAAGAAGCTCGACGAGTAAAATAATTTTATTTGTTGCAAAAAAAGAAAAGTTTTTTTTTTTTTTTTTTTTTTTTTTCTTTATTTTCTTACATAAAGCTTTATTATGAATATCATACACGTATGCTTGAACGATGGGGTTCAACTGGATCTAATCTTTTAACTGTATTGACGAATATATTTTATATTTTACCTTATTTTCTTTTTTATTTGGGTCTTGGTTTTCGATATGCTAGTTATACTGAAGAATTACTTTCTACTGCAAGGTTTGTTGTTAATTTTAACAAGTTAATAATAAATCTAATGTATTTTAGAATTATATGGGCACTTGATCTTGAATTATGGTATCTTCGATCACTTAAATTTGTTATGGCTTTAAAATTTTTAGGTCCAAAATTATTTATGTTAAAAAATATGGTTAGTTAAAAAAAAATTAATTAATTATAATAATAATAATAATAAATTTTAAAATATTAATATAAATTTTAGCTTCGAGATTTATTTGCTTTTGTCTTTATGATATTCATTGCAATAACTGCTTATGGTGTTGTATCTCGAGCATTGATTCTTTATAAACAAGTACCATTTACAGGTCATGGTATTTTTAGTGAGATTTTCTATGAACCATATTGGTTTATTTATGGAGAAGTATCGGATAAATATTTACTTGATAGTAATTATTCTTTTATTTAATATAAAAATGATCTATTTATTTCTTTTTTTTAATATATCATTAGATATAATTCATGGTGATAGTAACAGTACAACAGGAAATGTTGCAGAAGCGTCAGCAACACATGTTTTATTAGCATTTCATATGTTGTTTATTAATATTCTTTTACTCAATTTGTTAATTGCCGTTTTTGCGTAAGTATGAATCAAAAAATGTGTGACAATGAGAAACCGTTTGCCTCTTATTCAATGAGTATTTTTTACCATTTTACATTTTCGTCCTGATGCTACTATAGACTAGTCCTTTGAAGATTTCTTGTATATCTTCAAAAAACGATTGTGTTCAAGTAGCGATACGATCGAGCTATCTACTAACTTTGAACAAGTTAATTATAGTTAAGATTTTGAATCTACTATCCTACACCATAGGTTTTTTCCCTGTATGATAAATCTTCTGTACTAATCAACTTGTGTAATATTTTGTTTTTGAAAGAAAATTAATTTGCTGATAGAAAATTTGAAATCAAATCCCAAATAATGAATCGAGTAGAATCTTAATTTAAGCTAATTTTCTGTTCGAAGTTACTGTTTGATGATTGATAAGAAAATGGTCGATAATATTGTGAACTTTGTTTATTTTAATTCTATCAGCTAACTTTAAATAGTATTTGTCGAGGGTTCTAGTTTGCATTTTATACATGATATAATTTTATAAGATTTTTTCACAAAACTCATCAATCAAAAAATTAAATTCTTTTCCATATAAATGTTCAATGTATTTCTAAATAAATATTTTGATATTTTGATATTATTTTATTATTTTATTTAGAGATTCCATTGGAAAAGTTCAAGAAAATACCGAATTTTATTGGCGTTATCAACGTTATTCATTTGTACGAGAATATTTCGAGCGTTTACCATTATCTTATCCACCATTAATTGTTATCTCACATATCATATTAATTATTTTAACTATTCAACAAAAATGTTGCCCGTCAGGTCGAAATCAAGTGGCCAATCCAAATCAGGTACCATGGTCAAAAAAATTTACACGTATTTTTAGTAAGTTTCTTTGAAGTTATATTATTTTAAAGTTATAATATATGTATAATTTTCAAAAAAAACAATGAATATAGAAATGATTCCAAAAAGTGATACACAAGATGAACAATGGGATTCATTTGAGAATGCTGCAACATATAGTTATGTTCGTTCAATATTAGAAAATGATAAAAACAAAAATGCATTAACTACTAATCATGAACAATCGAATAAAATAATGACTACAACTGAGTATGTTTATTATTTCTTTTCTTTTTTTTTTTCTTTTATTAATCTTAGAATTTATATTATTTGAATTTTTTTAAAGTTCGAACACTGCAACAACAACTGTAGATCAACAACAAATAATAGATAATTTAAAAAATGATTTAATGTCAACATTTAAAGCAGCTCTTACAGAAACTCAAAAAGGATTAGAACAAGTATAAAGTTTTATTTATTATATATATTTATATTAGTTTTAATTTGTTTTCTTCTTTCTCTTTTTGATTATTTAGAATAATTCAAGAATGGAATATCGTTTAGATCAGGTAGACATTTTGTTTTTTATGTTAATTTTCAAATATTTTTTGAAAATTTTTGACTAATATTAAAGATGAAAACATCACTTGAATGGGTAATGAATGCAATGACACGTGTAAAAATGAACAATCCAAAAGAACCAAGACCTACATTTGAATTTGTTTCTACTAAAAATGATGTTTCGTTACCAAATCAAACAACAACATTAACTACAAATTCTGCTGAATAGTTATGATCTGTGATAAGAACAAAAAATTTAATTGTTGTCTTTGTATAATTCTAGTCGTATTTACTATTCTGTGATTTATTTTTGCCTTAAGCTCGGTGTATAGATTTTTTCAATGCATTATATATACAGAGTGACTGAATAGTCGTTTTATAAGAAAGAAAAATATTGAATAATTCCACTATATTTTGACTTAATGTATTCAAGTTTTTATTATTGACAAAATCAATATTGATAGTTCATATTCATAAGAGAAATGTTAAATATTTAGATAGTGCAATGAAGTATTATTAATCACATAGGTAAATTTATGTCCTGTACGGGTATAAATTTTCATACGCAGATTCTATTAGTTGTACCCGAGCATTCATCCGATAGGTTACATGAATAGATAATTAAAAAATGTAAAAGATTACCGGATATTAAACAAGAAAATGAAGAACTCAAGTAGTTTGTTAGACTGTTCTAATCCTAAAATTTAGTCAATATTATTGAATGTATATTGCCACTTGTTGCTGAGGATCCTCAAATTAAAATAAAGGAGTATAACTGAACTCGATTGAACAATTTTTTTTTTGCATGCCCGACATCCCAGTTTACTCGGTACTTAGTACTCTTCCTAAAAACAAGGTTCGGTTGTATGCCAGTCACCCTACCCAGTTGTAAGATTCTACAATAAAGGATAATGACCACAAACTAGTTATGAAAAATGATATGACAAAATAGTTGAAAAAAATTTTTGTGCATCTTTAGTAGCTATTAGAGAAGTCAACAATTTGTGTTTTGTACCTTGTTAAAGGTTAGCATTCTTTGTGCAAATTATCAATTACATTTCAGAGAAGATCTTTTAATGTTTGTCTTATGAATATGAACCATATCTACTTCTTTATCAATTATAAAGCAATCAAGTCATTTGCATGAATTATAAGGAGGATATACAATTTTGCTTTGTTCAGTACATTGACTTTTTAGTCCTTCTGTATTTCTTTGTTTACATTGTAAGCGTTAACATCCGTATTTTTTTATGCATTTTTTTTTAATAAAAATCGAATATTTATTCAGAATTTTAATTAAAATAAACCTTAACAATTATTAATCCCATACCAACTTGTTAATCATGTCACCGGTTGTGTTCTAAGGAAATAAACTATTAGTAGGCAAAAGTACCGCTAGCAGATGAAAACAATTTAAGCCTCAATTATGTGGGTTCATATTTTTATCATCAATAGAAATCAATGAACTACAATCATAGGCATCAACTTGAACTCGATTAATTGCAGTTTACTGGAGTTGTTGGATCGACAGTATCATCCTCTTGTGAAGATCATATCTTAACAATTCTTCCATGTTCAATTTCGTGCAATCCTTCATTCGAAAACTCAACACCAGGGCACGTTGTGATAAAAAGTTTGTAAAACTACTCTAAATTAATGGAGATATGATTTTTGCAATGGGAACACTTGGCTAGCAGTTAGTCCTAGTCTTGAGTCTAATGTTAATAATTCAACTTAACTGTGGTCGATTCAAAGAAGTCATTTTATCTGAAACTAGATAAACTCATTTCAATGTCTGAAACACATGGAGGATGACGCATATTTGAATGAAACACAACCAACATTTGGGATTTGATTATCGAGAACCTGTACAAGATGCGGGTATGGGTGTGATTTTTCTCTTCATCTAGACCCAAACTGTCCTCAATAGAAAGATCCAGTCGGCTTAGAACAATTTTCAAAGTAGTGAAAATCGGCAAAAAACAACCAGTTGAAAAATTTTATCTAAGGTACAAAAATCTCTAGTTTTGAAATAATATTGTGGTTTGTAATGCGCGTTAGCTTTTATAATTTCTTGACAACATTCGCAAGCGTCGAACTCCTTTAACTTCTATAATGTGAAACATTTACATGTTTTCTGTATAAGATGAATATTTATGTTATCGAAGTCGCATTGGTTTTTTTAATCATTATTTATTTTTTAATTATGTTGTGCTTATATCATCATTTCAAATGCTAAGATAGCTGATAATCAAAAAAAAGTATATTGGGTTTGAAATACAATATTTCACGAAAGAACTGAACATCGAATATTTATTAATACTTAAAGTAACTGATATGTAGCTGTATGGCCATCATATTTTATCTTAATAGATAATAACATAAGTGATTCACATGTTTGAAAGCGTGGGAATCACAACAGAACATGAAACGAACAAAAAGCAAGATACAAAATAGAAACTTTGAATAGTGTAAAATGAAGATTTTGACCGACATTCGATACGAAAAATCATATAGAAATAGATTTTATCAATTTTCTGTAGTATTGAATATTTTGGAATTAGAGAGAAACTATCGTTTCGTGTTCTATGTTCCATTATAATATTCTACTTCGGTCGGAGTTGACTAGTTCTGCTAACAATTTTTTTTAAAACTTATTGCTATGTTTATAACAATATCGAAATTCACTGTATTTCGTTAGTTTTAAAATTGAAAACTGAAGTTAACTTGTAGGAAAAATACCTAAAAATTTCAAAAATATTTCTGTCTTGTAGACTGAATATTTAAAATTTAGAACGTATCAATAGTAGAATGAAACTTTGCTAAATTTAGTGGATAAATATTTTATTGTGATGAAAAAAAAACAACTGAAAGAGATTTTGTATTTTTGTTCCTGCAACTTTATTTCATCAAGTTTTATAAGATCTTATTAACACGAAATAATTGCAGGACAAATTCATTCATACAACTCAAACTGATTCATTGTCATTTTGTCCAATTGTTTTTTTTGTTGAAAGATTGCTGAAAACTGTGTGTGAATAATAGCGTTATTGACATTGTCTTATTGTTTTTTTAGTTAATATTAAAAACTGAAGCATGCTATACGCCTTCTCATAAGTGTGTTTTGTTGATATCTGTCATATCAAAGTTGACGTCAACAAACACGTCAACTGATAGCGTATGAGTATTGTATGACGCAGTCATTCCATTTGATATTTAAAAAAGGAATAAGACGATAAACAAAACATTAGTTTTTTCTTTAAACAGTTTCGTTGATTATTCTCAATGGCCAAACAACAAATAAAGGATCCCAGAACGATTGTCTGTATCGTCCTTGCTACACTTGTTCTCTGCGCTATGATTATCCTTTTTACAATAGGTGGTATCTTTTTCACACAAGAACACCCCAAAGTGTTGAACTATGCCAACAGCATGTGTCAAGTTGATTCACGTTCATGGAAAGCATATAAATGTAGCACACGTTACACTCGATATACTTGTTATGGTGCGATGTGGAATGTACATCATGGAGAAAATAGAACCATATTCGCAGTAGTAGAAGAAGAAAAGCGATACAGGTCTTATTCGGATGCATACAAAAGAGCACAAGCATATAATGTAAGAAAATATTCAACATGAGATCTCTTTAAAAACGAAGTGACAAGAAAGTCGTTTCAGATGTCTCTTTACTATTTCAATAAGTTTTTTATCCATAGATATTACATAGTATGCTAATAATTTTGAAAATCTCTATTTTCTAGAGATCTCTGTAAGATTCCTATGTTCGAAAAAAATCGTATTTTCAAATATTGTCCTAACAGTTTTTTTTTATAATGAAAGCTCTCACATATAATTACTTTTACTGAAGAATTTTGGAATTTTTCGACAAAATATCTCTGAAGTACGAACTTGTGAAAACATTCTCGTCTTGCAGAATACAAAGTAGAAACACGTCTATTTTTATTAAGTTCATAACTTGAAGATACTAAATCTAAGAACTCTGATACTCTTCATTTACTTTAGTAAATGCAAAATCTTTAACTCGAAGCAGTTTTTGGATGAAAATTCGAAAAAAAAAACGATCTTTCTCAATAATAACGTTTTACAGAAATCTTTGGAAAGCAGATAAATTCAGAATTTTGATATCTCCACCAAATTCCAATAAGAATTTAAATCTATGTGTAATATCTAGATATAAAAAAAAACATTAAAATAGAAAGAGATCATTTGAAAAAGCTCTCTCGCAGGAACAAATATGTAGTAATGTTAATCAACAAGGTTATCTTTACAACCAATACTCTATTAAAAACTCTTTATGACGAAATAGTACATGGTTTTTTTTCGATTTTGCATTTTATTTCATATATGTGATCTAATAACGTTAATAGACTTATTCACAGTACAACAAAATAATTGGACTAAAAATGATGAACATACGTATATAAGTCTTTTCACGAAACTTTAACTATTTAATAAGATGAGATATACAGAACAAAAATTACTCTAACCCTATTTTTAAAATGATAAAGATCAATATATGACACTTTTGTATATATTTCTGTTCTGTGCATTACCATTATCGATAAGATTTTTTGATAAAGACTTGGTATAAACGAAATTGAACGCTCTCTATTTCTTATTTATAAAAGTTCTGTAGATATTCAAAAAATAATTTAAGCTTTTCTATCGACATTTATTTTATCAGTGTTATGCGAATAAATGATCTATGTTTTTTATGGCATTAAAACTTCTTTTGTTTTTTTTTAGATCGGCTCATCATATTCATGTTGGTATGATACTAGAAAGCCATCAGTTGCTCAATGGAACAAACCTAGTACTCTCGTAGCTATTATTCTTCTTTCTTGCGGTGGATTATCTGTATTGCTCAGCGGCATCTTAGTCTTTATTACCGTTAAACTTATCCAACAGGAAAACCTACAACAAAGACACGATAACATCGATCCATATTATTATAATGGTTATACAGTGAAACAATAAAGATAAACAGTAATCAACTATATTAAATGAAATTTCCATTTAAACTTTTTGTTATTGTGATAAATCACTTTGATAGTTTTTGACATTTTAGTTTTTAATTTTTTTTTTTTCAATAAAAAGAAAGTCATATTTACTAATTTGATTCATTTGTCAAATCTAAATATATAGAAACATTTCAAGATTACTATTATTATTTAACTAAACTATCGAACTTTTAATACGTCTATTTTCTAGAAATCCTGTTGGACCTTAGTTCTTCGAAAAATTCATATTTTTGATTATTGGTCTGGAACTTTGTGCATGTGGAAAAGTCAAATAGGCTAGATTTTCTAAAAAAAAACCTTAGAAACTTTTAACAAATTCTCTTCGAAGAGACTTTGTTCAAAACTTCTGAATTTTTTTTATAGAAGCTAATCTAGTTGAGTTCTCAATCTACGCACTTGTTCAGATCTAAAATTGAAAATAGAAGTTTTTCGAAAACCTGTGTTCCAGAGAAAAAGAAATATATGAAAAATTCGATAGCTTGGTCAAATATTAATAAGAAACAAAATCTTTCTTTAGGGTTTTTATTAGAACACCATGTAATACTTATAAGTAAACAAAATTATTGAAATCGCAAGCAAACGACTGAAAAAAGTCTCTCATAAGTAACAATCTAGGTATGTAATACATAATAGTTTAAAACAATTGTAGTTTATTCTTGTCATTTTTCAAACTGTATAAAGTACCTGCATTAAGTAGGTCAAGTTGACACAACCACGAAGAAACAATACTATATTATGATACTATTAATTAGAATAGATAATTATGTTATAGACAAAAGACAAAATAATAATAATTTTTTTTTTCAAAAGTTTGCACGGCAAAGTAAATCAGCAATGATACACATACTACACACGTTTTAGTCAATAACACATATCAAATACACTTGTAAGCAGTAGCAAGTATTAGAGAACCGAATGTAATAGACTTTGACTTCTAGAGAACATAACATATCCCATGAATATAATAAATTGTATAATTAAGTTATATGATGAAAGTCAACTATCGCCCTCAGTGGTCAATAATAGAACTTTCAAAATTATGTCATATTGGTTTCATTTAAAGAAAAAAAGAACATTTTCGTAAAATTGTAAAATTTTTGTCACATACATATGACATAATGAAATTAATGTGAGAAATTGCCCTTTTTCTCTTTCCACCATATCTATTGCTTGCAATCAAAACAATATGTACAACAATGCATATAGATTATTTTGAAAGCTTAAACATTTGTCTTTTAATTTTTTCATTGTTTACATTTAAAAAAATTTAATATTAATTTAAAAGTAAATGAATACATTAAAATAGTTATTATGAATCATATACTTGTAATTTATGTTAGACCAAATGTTGAAAATTTCCCCGATTAAAACTGTATAGAAGGAAAAAATTGCAAATGAATACACTAGTATCAATCTAAGTCTTTTGTTTTTCATCATAACCTTTTGTATATCTATATACTCTTTTCTTTTTCCAAGAAAACAAAACTATTATTGCTGGAATAGAAAACATTTTTTCTCTTATCTTCTTTCTTGATAATGTTCCTTCATATAATCTACTTGACTGAAAAAGAATAACCCCTATTGCAGCAAAGCCTACAATAAGCGGCATTAATCATAGCATCGTACTAGTGCATCCATATAGAAAAAGACCGAAAGGCGCCGAAAAAAAAAGTAGTAGTTATTGCTTTTTAGTATATTAATATCACTTTCTCTTCATTGAAATTAATTAAATCAATTTTATAACTCTCATTCATTAACATAGGTGAAGTGAGTATTATTTCATAATGTGAATTATTTAATGAAATTTTCATTTATTCTATCCATTAGATGATATTACATCCGTACAGAAATCAAATTTATTCAGATTTAGTTCGACAACATAACGTCAATAATCTTTTTCATGATCCAGAATTTCCACATAATAAATCTTCATTATATTATACACCTGGTTTCAATCGTACACTTGATAATGTAACATGGAAACGACCTTATGTAAGTGTATTCATTTATTCTAATCTTACTATTATTTTATTATTAGGAAATTTGTTCAAATCCTCAATTTATTGTTAAAGAAGCTAATCGATTGGATCTCGATCAAGGCCTTTTAGGTGAGTTTATTTTTTTTTGTTCTCAAACTATTTTTCTGTTTGTTCAAAAAACAAAAACAATCTAGGTAATTGTTGGTTTATTTCTGCTGTTAGTATGATAACACAAAATGGTACGATTTTTGAACGTGTATGTCCACTTGATCAGACTTATGATAAACAATATTATGCTGGTATTTGTTTTGTTTTTTTTTTCAAAAATAAAACATCTAGATTTATTAATATGTTCACATAGGAATATTTCATTTTCGATTTTGGCAATTTGGAAGATGGGTGGATGTTGTTGTTGATGATTACTTACCGACAATAAATAATCGTTTAATTTTTTGTCAAAATATTAAAGAACCCAATGAATTTTGGGCAGCTTTACTTGAAAAAGCTTACGCAAAGTAAGTTGATCTAAAGAAAAAATAAAAAAAAAAAACGATAGTTGGATTGCGCGTTCGCTCAAATTTCGCCAGGAATCGAACCTGGTTGTTCAATGTGTGAAATTGAGATACGTACCTATGTATTACGAAGTAAGCGAACAACTATGTTTTGCCAACTATTAGAGCTATACAAGCATTACATCCTTGTGAACGTAACATTTATTGATGTTGTGCAATGACATTACTCATGCGAGTAGCAAATATTAAAAGAGAAAGGGAAAATAATCGAATATATGATGAACTCTGATTAATACTATAGATATTGAAATTTCAATCGATTTTGTCACTAAATGATAAATTCAATTTTTTATTTTAATTGAATTCTAAGCTAATGTAATTTGTTCATTAGATTATTTTAAATTTTACTGTGCTATCATTTGATACGAACAAATGATATTTATTAAAATGATATAATTAAATACTTTTTATATTGTAGACTGAGTTATTCTTATGAAGGTACGGATGCTGGACAAACTACTGATGCTTTAATCGATATGACTGGTAACTTTCTTTTGTCTTGTTCTTCTACTATGAAATTGTTAAATAAGAATCATTATTATTACTAGGAGGAATAGAAGAATCATTTAATACAAAGGATATCAAAGATAAAGATCAATTTTGGCAAACAATAGGAACAGCATTGAAACATGTTGCAATGATTGGTTGTTCTATTTCAGTATGTATTTAATTTCAATTTTTTTTTGATAATTAACTTCTTATTCTTTTTTATTAACATAAATATTCAAGCCAGATCCAAATGAACGTGAAGCTAAAATGGCTAATGGTTTAGTGAAAGGTCATGCTTATGCTGTAACAGCTGCTGTTCGTGTTAAACTTACTAATGGTGAAATTGTTCAAATGATTCGTTGTCGAAACCCATGGGGTAATGAAGTCGAATGGAAGGGTGCTTGGAATGATGAGTAAAATAATTTGATTACCTTTTAGCACTAATTTCTTCTGAATGTTAGAGATAAAATCCATTGGAATACAGTAGATTCGTATACAAGAGAACAATTACATTATAAAAATCAAGCTGATGGTGAATTTTGGTAAGAAAAAACAAGAAAAATAAATGACTACAAAATAAAAAATATTTTTTTTTTTTATCAATTTTAAACTAGGATGCTCTATTCAGATTGGTTAAAATATTTTGAACAAGTACAAATTTGTAATCTTTCACCTGATTCATTCGAAGGACAACTTACTATTCAACAGGTATGCATGTAGAAAATTATACATTGTTAATTTTATTCGTATTACTTTGTTTTCATTTTGAAAGGGAAAAAATATTAATTGGCATGAAATGCAATTTGATGGTGTTTGGATTAAAGGACAAACAGCTGGTGGATGTGGACAACCAAACATTGGTTAATAAAATTGCTTTTCTTTTTAAAGTTTTTTTTTTTTGTTTAAAAAACGTTTTCATTTGTATATAGAAAGTTTTTTTACTAATCCTCAGTATTTAATTAATGTAACAAAACCTGATATTGAACATAGTGATGGTTTAAGTACAGTTATATGTTCTTGCCTTCAAAAATATATCCGACAAAAACGACAACAAACAGGTGGACAACAAGCTGAAGAATATATTAATTTACGTTTATATAGAGTGAGATTTTTCTATTGAATTTATTGAAATATATAAATGAATAGCTTCTTATAGATAAAAGATTCAATCGATGTATCACAAATTACACAAGATTATAGATTTTATCCAAAAGATCTTGAACGACAAGGTGATACAGGTAATTAATAATAAGAAAATAAAACAATTAAAAGAAATTCTTTTTTTTGTTTTTTGTTCCAGGACCATATATAAATAAACGTGAAGTTACAGGAAGATTTCGTGTAAAATCTGGAAACTATTTATTAATACCATCAACCTATGAACAAGATAGAGAAGGTCAATTTCTTATTAGAATATTTACTGAAGGTGAATCAACTGGTAAATCATTGAATACGGAATATCCAGATATAGTAATTCGTTTTTATTTTTTCTTCATATCTTTTGTCATTATATATGTCAATACTAGATTCCACCATCACCAATAATGAGAAAAGAAAAATATGAATTTCATGATGGAAAAAATCAAGATCAAAAGTTTACTATTATGCAATGGTATGATAAATTACCTGAAAGACAACGAAAATTACTCAAGTAAACAATTTGTTTTTTTTTGTCTATAAAAAAAAAATTCAAAAAGTAATTTTCTAGATATGGTGGATATGCAACAGTGAGTGTTGGTTTTCTTTGTTGTCTTGGTTATTGTTGTAAAAAGTATTGTTGTAAAAAGAAACATGAAAACAGTCAATCGTCATCAACAAAAAATCATAATAAAAATTATAATAAATTTTAAAAATATTGATATCAAATATTCTTCTGTAATGCATTTGTTTATTTTTATGTGTGATATCTAATGTTTGTTTTTTCTTTTCTTTTCTTTGAATTATCAGCAAAAATAATCAAAAATTTATTTTTCTTAAATTATGTTTGTGTTTGTGGTATAACGACTACTGATTTTTAATGCAATAAATATTTTTATTAGTTCAAAACATGTATACAAGAAAATTTCAATACTAGTTTTTTTAATCTAATTATCGATTTTGCTAAAGTTGAAATTTTTGATAATGATATAAGTTTAGTTTGAAATATCGTTGTATTATTCGAAATTCATTGAATAATTCACATTGTTAATAAGAGAAAAATGCCTTTGATTGAGATTCAATAATTAGTTCATTTACATTCATCAAATACAACTTTTTATTCATTAATTTAATTAATTTTTACACAATATTACAATATTCATATATTCTGAAATGTTTCAGAAAAGTATTTTTACAAACTAAGAGCATGTATAAATAAACAAAGACTTTTTCATATACTTAATATTAAGAAAATTTTTCTTCTCGTTTTACATAAAATATTATAAATATCACAAGAGAAAACTTTCTAGTTGTTGTGGATAACTTGTTATCTTTCTTTTTATTTAATAATAACATTGTCTTTTTTTTTGTATTGCAAATAGTTATCTCTAACTTATAAACATGATGTTATACAGTAATTAAATCTAATCATATATGTAAAATAGTCGGCTTATTTTGTTACATATCATGATTTTCTGTTGATTCTGTTAACTTTGCCTTTTCTAGGTATATTCTACGGGTACTTTTTTCTTCTATGTCAATTTAACAATAACTTCTCGATCATCCATACAAGCAACGAATACACACATAGCAGCCTGTTCTTCAATGGAAAAATAGTTTTCATCGTCGCAACTAAGTTGCTTGATTGTCATATCAGCCGCGAACAATTTTATCGTCACTTTGACACTGACACTTTTGAGTGGCACATATGTCAATCGTTGTCTTTGATAAATTACAACTGCTGAGGTCTGATAATTTAGGAGCATGTTAGTTTTCAACGTACGTTTTTTTTTGCCTGTTTCAACTGATTTATCTAATGAAAGATACCATAGTTAAAAACTTTCTATGATAGAAAAGTGTGAATCATACAAGAAAAAAAAACCACTCATTTCATTGAAAAAAATCCGAAGAAACGATGCAAGAGCAGTTGATTCATCAGATATAAAGCATTGCACGAAAACATATGTTTTGGTGAAAGGAATTTATGATAAACATCACTGAATACACAACTGTTGACATCAATCACTCAATAGATGAAAATTTTTTTGTTCGACTTTCAATGTTTTATTATTTTGGTTAACTTGTTAATGAATTAATCTTTCTTATTTCTTGATATAGTTATTAAGTTCAGTAGAAATAAAAATGACATGCAAGACTAAAATTTAAATAGGCATTAACAATTAGATTAAACGAAGTTAAAATTTATTTTGATGTTTCAACAAACAAAATTGTCTACATGAAATATCTGATAGAAATCTAAAATTTCTTGTGTATATTTTCTTTTTCTTTTTATATTTCACTTTTTTTTCTTGTCGAATTTTTTATGATGTTTAACATTTGATAATGAAATAGTAAGGTGATATCGGTAGGAGAGATTGATTATTTGACTTCTTCGTCTGTTTCTCTGTCATCAGTTTGTGCACTTTATTGTTGATAAAGTTCTTATGTGTATTACTACAATCCTTGTTTTAATTTTTACATTGTTCCTATTGAATCTATTATCCAACATATCCAATAAAATCAATGAAATCCAAGATAAAACATCGCGAAGGTTAGTATAAGAGAATCAGTCCACTAATTTATCAACATATTAATACCGTTATGAAAGTATTTGTACCATCTTAAATAATTCAATTATTATCGATATGTCTACAAATAGATTTCTACTTTTAGAAGAGTTTCTAAAAAAAAAAAAACATTTCTTCATGTAAATTTATAAGGATTCTAATCTGTTTAACATGATCGTCGAATAAAATATTTTTCTTTCTTGATTAAAATGAATAAGTTTATTATTTCATGATGTATATACAAACAAAATGTAAATCAAAATATTAATTTTCTTCTAAAGAAAACTTATGGTGATGATATCAAAATATAAAGTGAGGTTTTTGAAATTTAGTTTGAAATCATCGAACTAAAACGTATAATATTAACAAATAAAAGAATTTTTTCATAGATATTCGAGAATTAATGAAGTTATATTCATCAAAAGGTTCGTCATTCATATCAATCTCAATATAGAATTGATTTAGTAAAACCCAAAGAAAAATTGATGATAGACTTTTTAATTTATAACGATAATTGATTCACAGTTTGCAGCATTTGTCAGAGTCCTCACGAAAAAGTCATTAAAAAAAGAATGTCTCCCACGTACTCTAGCAGAACTCTGCAATGTATGCCGATATGATTATTGGATATTTCATAAAATAAATTCAAATTCTTTTGTATTATTTCTTTTTCCTTAAAACAGTTATTCAATACATCTATAGCAGTATAGATTTGAAAACATTGACAAGTATGTTATGAGTTTTCAAAGGTATCCATCTTACATTCTCCATAAATGAATAAAAGTTATAAATACTTTAATATAAATTTGTGTTGTTGTTAATAAAATATATCTTTTTTCTTTATATATTTGAATAAATCTGAAGAGAAAAAGAAACAATGGTAAAACCGTTAATTTGTTTATATTAAATAAGAGATATATATGGAAATCACATTGTTCTTTTTTTGAGTGTAAATCAATCATTTGATTGTTGTCCATCAGTAAGTTTATATTTGACAGCAGCAAAAAAAAGAAAGTACTATTAGATTATCGAAGTCTAATCGATACAAATTGTTATCATTCATCTAGAATATAACGATGATTTAAGGTATAGTCGAACAACTATAATTTTATTATTCTATTTCTTCTTACTTGTTTTGATCGTTTATTTGATTCAGTGCAACGAAATATAATTGAGTCGGCAATAAATCAAATAAAATAGTAAGTCTCTAATTTCTTGATTAACTTTGTTAAAATATTACCGAACCTTCATTCTCATTCTTGAGTACGTACTTAATCTTGTCTCAACAATCAACTTCCGTTTTTCTTTTTTTTTGGTTAAACATATAAAAATTAAATAAAAATTAAAAGCAATCGGCATTTTCACTTGTTAAATGTTCTTGTATCTAGTATTTTACTATTCTTTCAACTTGCACGTTTATACTGGATGTTATATTTTCTCTTATTTTATGGATAATTCATTTATTATACCTTGACATTAACTTACATATAAGTTGAATTATGACCGTATGTAATTCGATTGATTTTTTATGTGAAATATACCGGGTGGCCCAAAAGTAAGGAAAAATAAAAGGTGTCCCATAATAGCTGATGACAGATTGTTAATGGTATTTTTCATACTTTTTATTGATGTAGAGAGCCGAAATTTTTATCACATATACATCTAATCAAGACCTTATATTTCTGAAAGTTTCAGCTCTCTACATCAATAAAAAGTATGAAAAATACCATTAACAATTTATCATCAGTTATTATGGGACACCTTTTATTTTTCCTTACTTTTGGGCCACCCGGTATATACTTGTCATACACATGACTAAGTTATTTAATATATGAGAAAAGTTTTACATAGTTTGCTCCTAAAAAAAAAAGTACACTTCATCGATTGTTCAATATATTTTTTATTTTATATCAACGAAACTGAAGTATATGAAAACTAGAAGATTGATTGCTTTACATAATCTTCAGTTTAGATCATTAGTATATTTTAAAAAAACTAGAATTGTTAGATAGATACATATTAATGAAAACTAATTAATATCTTTATTAAATAACAATTTAGGAAATTCGATTAAACTTTATAAAAATGAATGCCTCCTTTCGTCAATACAACTAATATATTTGAATTAAATAAATTTACATTGTAAGGTACAAAGTCGTAGATAGCATTTTCTTTGAGTATTCCATCGTTTACAATGTGAAAAATACATGATGTATCCCAATCAACAACTAACCATTCATCATGAGTAAATAGACAACCACCAATTGCATTGTTGTTATAATTTAGATCAAGTCGAAGTGACCAAAGTATGTTGAAAGTATCTGATGATCTTAATTCAATAAATTTTAGTTGATCTGTTTGATCATTGATCATCAAACAAAGAGTCTTATTATTGTATATAATGGTATCAATTCGTTGCTTTTGTTTTGATGTATCAACAGTGTGCCATTGTTTTACGAATTGAATCGAGGGTATTAAGCTGTATTGAAATATTGTTGAATCAAATGCATGTTTCGAAAGATATAAGGATTTATTAGAACATGCACAAGACCACCAATGATGCGTCGATAGATTTTCTACAGATTCAATCTGCATTGTATTTTCATTGAAGAGAAAAATACTGTTTAAAGTTATTATAACAAAGCAATATAATGTTGATGACCAACACATATCTTCGATTCTATCATAAATCCATTCTTTTCTTTTAACTATTGATAATTCTTTATTAATCAAACATAAATTTGAATCAATATGCACTAACAAAAACCGATCATTGCTAGTCAATGTATTTGTACTTATTCCAGAACGTTTGAGCGTTTGATAAGGAGATGTTAGAGCTAATAGATTAAATTGATGTTTATTTCTATTATCAATTGATATGATATCATTATCGATTAATAAAGATCGAATATTAACTTGAACATGATTTTGTTCAATCTCATCCATATTTTGTTTCAATGTATGTAGAGTTGATGTTAATAAATTGATATTTTGTTTATCATTTAATTCAATTATGTCAGAACGTAATTTATTAATTTCTTTTCGTTGTTTATCAAGTTTTTCTTCAACATATTGATCAAGTTCTTGACATTTTTGTTTATAAAAACGATCAATTTTTTCATGACACTCAATACGCCATTGATCAAGTTTTTCACGAACATTACCAACAATTCGATCGATATCTAATCTTCTAAGTCTTTCATCTAATCTATTAATTTCATCGAATAACGGATTTGTTTGAAAGTTAATTAAATCATCATGTTCAATAAAATGTTCTCGACAAAAATGTTGATTACAACAATGACATAAAACCCGCGATACACGTTTACATGTTTGAATAACACAATGCTCAGACATTGATAAACAAAAAAACAAACGCGATATGCTCTCACTTAGAAAATCATGGTGTAGTAGAAAGAAAAGTATCTTAAGTAAATATTTGTTACTTTTCTTTTTAAGCATAAATCTTTGCTAGATGAAGAACAAAAAAAAAAAAAAA